CAGTACTTCGATCCTGACCATGAGAGATGCGTGGATATAGCAGGCTCGGGTGCTTTGGCGCAGTCTCTGAAGGATGCTTGGCATGAGTCGGAGGCGCGGGCGATGGACGGATGGGAGGAAGACGAGAAGTCTAAGGCTACGGCAATGGCACGTTTGCAACACCTTCGCCGAGCGTGGTCCAAGATGCGTCGGCGATACGGGCTCTCTGGAATCCTGGACAGCTCAGGGCAGGTTTGCCCTTCCCCGACGGCCTCTGTTGAGGCCCTTCGGGACCATTGGCAAGCGATTTTTGCCGCCAAGGAACCTGATCGGACCCTTTGGCCTGAAATCCTCGCCCATGCCCAGCCGATCCAGTTGGACTCTTCGCAGTGGAAGTTGGAGGTCGACGGTTTCATAGAGCGGGCCCAATTCAAGCATCACTCTGCTCCTGGGGAGGATGGCATTCCGCATGGGTGCTGGAAAGCTGGGGGGGGGGGGGGGCGAAGTTCTTTTTGCTGTTTATGAGGAGATGTATCAGGCGTCGGGGGGTACGGTCTCTGCGTGCATGCGTCGTGGAAGGATGTGTTTTCTGCCCAAAGACCTCAAAGACGACGAGAACCCCGCGGCCCTTGTTCGGTCACCTGATAAGACTCGACCTCCCACACTTGCGAACACCGATGCGAAGCTCCTGGGTGACGCGTTCTCCATCGGCCTCCAGCGGGCTGCTCCGACCGTGATCGACACGATCCAGCGATGGGGGGGTCGCGCGACGTGGGCTCCTTGACAACGTGGTTGAGATTGAATGGTGGGGTCTTCGTGAGATGCTTACTGGTGGGGATCGCTCGGGAATTCTCTTCACGGGCTTTAAGGCTGCGTTCCCCTCTGTGGTTTTTATCGTGAGCTGTACCGTGACAATGTGGCGGTTATCAACTTCCCTGGGACTACTGGTATCGAGTTTTCGGTGGAACGTGGTGTGCGACAGGGCGATCCTGCGTCGATGCTACTCTTCGCTTATGCGCTGGACCCAGTATTGCGCTGGATGAGGTCCAGGCTCACTGGCCAGGTCCCCCGAATTAGAGCATGCGCTGATGAATTCCCGTTCTGCCTTCCCAACATCCTGCCGGACCTTCAGCCGACGCTTTCACTCCTCCGTAAGTGGGGACATGCGGTAGGACTGGGGTTGAACATTCCTAAATGTAAGGTGTTGGTGATTGGCTCGCTTGACCCTGAGAGATTAGTTGCCCACCTTCGAGCCAAGGGGAGTGGGTATCATCGCATTGGGTTTGTTCGCGTTGTTTTGTACCTGGGATTTTGGCTTGGGCCTGGCGCTTTGGATAAAGTATGGAGCAATATCATTCCCAAGTTCTGGATGACGGTTCGGAGGCTCCGTGGGCTTGGGCTAGGACTTCCTCAGACTATTCGTATTTTTTCACTCGCACTGCATGTCGATATTGGCGTACCAGCTACAACTCTGTCCTGTGACTACGGCTCTTCGGAAAGCGTATAATGAGGCCCTTCAGGTGATCACTGCTGGTCCCCGCCATGCCTTCTCGAGAGAGATGCTGACGGGCTTGCGTGCGCTGGGAGCCTCTCTAGAGTGCCTGGACATCGATTGTTTTTCGAAGGCTATCAAGTTTCGGGTGTTGATGTCCTGCTCCAGTATTGATGCTGCCCAGTATGAGATGGAGTCCTTGACGGTTTCCCTGGATGACGATAACTTCATTCCTGCTCGACTCAGCTGGCCCTGGTGGAAGTCTTCCTGGATCAGGACGACGGTGAATGAAGTAGGCAATTTCTCGATCCCGACCCTGGGACCCATCCCCAAGAAATCCCTTCAGAAGAAAGCTATGCGCAAGCTCAGAGGGCTCCGTGACCCCACTGTTCCCCTCCGCACCATGGTGCAGAGGGTGTCCAAGTGGGTGGGCCCCGACCGTTTTACTGTTGCTGACTTCAGGTGCTTGCCCAGAGGATGCGTAAAGTGGAGAAGGACAGCACGATGCACCTCGTCACGGGGGTCCTTAGAGTGCTCTGCCGAGGAGTATGCACCTCTAGTCGTCTGCATACTACGGTGGTGGGCTGTGCCTTTGGGTGTCCTCTGGATGTGGCCAATGACGATCTGAGGCATTATCGCGTGTGCCCCAAGTTGAAGGCTGGGTTGACTGACATATTCCCCCGCGGTGGACTTGGGCCGCGGCTCTCACGGGTGAGGACTGGCTCCTCACGCTCTGCTGTCTGGGGCCACAGTGGGGGCGGTCACGGGACCTAGTGGGGCGTGCCTTAATATTGTTTTTTGGCAGCGCACAATGCTCGCAGGACTGGTTCGGTCCAGCCAGGGGACTTCCTGATTGAAGCCAGGCTTCGGCAGTTGTCCCGTCGGCACCCCAGGCTTAACGAGGCCCTGCGTGCACTGCGGGCGCCTGCTGCTGCTGCCGCCCCTCCCCCTGCCTCCCCTGCTCCTCCTGCCGTGCCTCCCCTCTCCTGAGTTGCCGTGTCCATCTTCTGTTTGTTCCCCCTTTTCCCTGTGGCCCCTCTAGATTTAGGTCCATGCATGATGCTGTCAGAGTGTGATGGGGCCCTGGTGGGTCTCTCGGGTTGGCTGGCTGGTTTTCCTAGGTTTACTTTCTGTTGTGCCGTTTCTGCACTGATTCTCTAGGTTAATTCAGGGCCCCGTGTTGTAGCCTGGGTTGTGAGAGCCTGTCAGTGCTCCCTGTAACCCCTCCGCTTGCAGGCGAAGACTGGACGGTGCGCGGGAGAGTGTGCCTCTCTTGCCGCGCCGCCCCCCCGCCTCTTTCAGCCGCCTTGCCTGTGCTTCTCTCCTGGTGTCCGTGATCTACAGGTTCCCCGACGGGCGGGCGGTCTGGTTCGCTTGGCCGTGGGTCCATCGCTGCCTCGGTAGGGTAGGGCGGCCTGCCCGCGACGCCAAGCCGTGGCGCCTCCAGACACCCGTTGCGTCTGGCGCGGAGGAGGTCGTTCTCCTCTTCTGCGCCCCGCCTCCGCCCTCAGGTTCCCGACGAAGTTCGAGGCACCCCGGCTGCCGCCCCGCGCGAGGGAGCGAGGGGGCGTTCCCCGCTCGCCCTCAGGTCCCCGACGATGTTCGAGGCACTGTGGCGGCCTGCCATCAGGTATTCCCTCCCTCTCTGCGTTGGTTTCTCGTTTTCGGGGCGTGCCCCTTTCGTCTGCTCTTGCTTGCTGCGGTGTTGGTTGGGCCCTCGGTCAGCCGTGGAGCGAGTGTGGCATGGGACGGACGCTCGAGCGTTGACCCCCTTTTGTCCTGTGTGCCTGGGGGGGCGCGCCCGCCAGGGATCATGTGCACTCGGAGCAGAGTACCCGCCGCCGCTTCTCTTTGCCTGCCTCTGCTGCTGCCTCTCCCCCCCTCCTTGCACGTTGGCTGCACGGCCCCATTGCGTCGAGATGTTTAGTACGGATCTGACACATGGATTTGGCGTGTGCGCCTGCGGTGGGAAAAAATAAAGGGAAAAAACAAAAACAAAAACAAAAAAAAACTCATCCTCCTCCTCCTCCTCCTCCTCCTCCTCCTCCTCCTCCTCCTCCTCCTCCTCATTCCCCTCCTCCACTTCCTCCTCCTCCTCCTGAACGAGAGGGCGCTTCGCGCGTGGGGCTGGGGTCCGAGGAACGGCTCGCCCCCCTCCCCCCCCTGCGCTGCACTGGGCACTGCGGCACTCGGCCTCTGCAGGCGGCGGCCGGGCCCGCGTTCTCGGAGGCCTGCTCGGCGGGCGGGCGCGACGGGGCGCACGGTGCTCTCGCGCGTCGGGCGCGCAGTGCCCTCCAGCTTCGCCCGCCGCCTCCTCCTCATCCTCCTCCTCCTCCTCCTCCCTCCTCCTCCTCCTCCTCCTCTCCTCCTCCTCCTCCTCCTCCTCCCCCCCCCCCCCTCCGGCCTCCGCCTGCAGCGGAGGCCCCCGGCCTCCGATTTCTAGGGGGGGCCCCGCCGTCTAGGCTTCAGCCGGGCGTGTGCCCCTGCAGGGGGATTTCCTGCGAAAAACCACATTTTACCCCAGTGCGACCATACCTAGAACTTTGAGCCCCTAGGAAAGCAACATTCGTCGCTATGCTATGCTATGCTATGCTATGCCATGATGATATGCTGCGTTATGCTATGCTATGATATGATATGCAAATCTATGTTATGCCATGCTGCGCTATGCTATGATATGTTATGATATGATATGATATGTTGCGTTATGCTATGCATGGGCTGTGCTATGATATGTTGTGCTGCGCAATGCTATGCTATGCGATGCTGTGCTCTGCTATGCTAAAGCTCAGCGAAGCTAAGATGAAGGTAAGCTAAGCTACGATCAACCTGAGCTAAGATGAAGCTAAGCTAAGCTAAGATGAAATAAGCTAAGCTAAGATGAGATAGACAACGTTAAGCTAAGGGAACGTAACTGGGGGAACCGCGGGGCGGATGCCGGGGGAACCGGCCGGGGCGGGGCCCACTGCCCGGCCCTTTAAGCTTAGCGAGTAAGAACCCTTCTAGGCAGAGCCTCGGTAGGGAAAATATTTAAAACATATTCCGAAATGGTCAAACAATTTTTTTAAACGCCCCCAGACTATGTTTTGACTAGGTTTGAATTGTCCCCCTGTGGAGGGACAGGCCCGACTTCAGTCTAGACAGCCCCCGCCTTCTTCGAAGGCCGACCCCCTCGCGCGGCTTGATGCGACGCTGCCGTCGGTCCCGTGCCCGCCGTGGCGTCGCTCGGACGTGCGTTGTTTTGTTTTTTCCTCTGCGGGGACCACCGAGGGGCATCCTGGCTCAGCCGGCACAGAAAACAGGCGCGCACGACACCGACCAAATTCACGGGGCATTGACGTCCGAGCGATGGCACGGTGATGCGGCACCGCCCTCGGTCCCGCTCCCAGCCCCATGCCTGCTCATGTGCCCCCTCTCCTGCGTGCTGTGTGCCCTCCCCGAGCCGCTCTGGCCAGAGCCGAGCGGCTCCGCCGCGCCGGCCCACGGCCGGAGCGCCCGGTCGCGCCGAGGGGCGGCGCCGCGCCGGCCGATGCAGGCCGGCAGTGCGAGCGGCCCTGCGGAGGCGCCAGCCGCGACGGAGGATGGCGGCCGCGCGCAAGAGAGACCTGTCGCCGGGGTGACTTTTGGTGTGGGCACGCGGAGGCCGCGCAAGGGGGGAGGATGGAAGGGAGGGGCAGCGAGGGCTGCGGAGAGAGGGGGGCCTGTCGGGCACCCGGAGGGGCCCCTCGTGGCCCCGGAGGGAAGGCCTTGAGGGCCCGAGGAGTGCACCATTCCTCACCCGCTCCCCCTGCTTTGCCGCCCCCCAGTGATTCGCGCCCAATGGACACCTGGGGTTCTGGACCGTAGAACGCGATGCGCAAGCAGCGGCTTGCGCGCTTGGGTTTGCGCCCCCCCCCGCCCCGCCCCCCCCGCCCCCCCGCGACCCCCGAAAGCCGCATACCAAAGGTCATTGTGACCGAGGGTCACCCTTGCGTGAAGCCGAGGAGGGCGCCGATGCTCTTGTGGACGGGAACAGGAGCCCGGGCTGCCCAAACTGAGTCCGACCAGAGGGGGTTCGCAGGATCGGGCCGCACCGCCGATGCATCGGCGGTGAGGCTCGATTCGGAGCTTGACCTGCTCCGTCCAAGTGTCGCTGTTGCATCGCCGATATGTCGGCGATCTGACGCAGCTGGCGATGCGGCGCATCTCTCTGAGCTCATGCTCTATTTTCACGAACCATCTTTGGGCGGCCTCCCAGGAAGGCGTGCTCGCAGGGCGTCGCCGTGGCCGGCATCATGTCGGTGCAGCTCGTGTTCGCGACCTACCAGATGCTTGGGAAGGAGGTCCTCGATAGCGGGGTGAGCCCAGTCGCTTTCGCGCTGGTACGCGAGCTGTGCAGCTGCGTCGTCTTCCTGCTGGCATCCGTGCTGCTAGTACCGTGGCAGGGCTGGCCCCAGAGCAAACACTTCCTGCGGTTCTTGATGTGCGGCGCGTCCATGTTCGGCAACGTGTTCTTGATGCTCCTGGGCCTGTCCCTCACCTCTCCGTCGATGGTGGCGGGGGAGGGAGGGAGGGGGAGGGAGGGGGAAAAGGACGAGGAGCCGGAAGAGGAAGAGGAGCAGAGTGAGGTGGCCCTGCTCCAGCCCACGCAGCCCGTCTTCGCGTCCATCCTCGCCGTCGCGCTGGCCCAGGAAAGGGATGCCCGAAAGCACACCCCAGGGCCACAAAACAAGTAGAAGGAGGAGCGGGATGAGGACGGGAAGAAGGAGGAGGACGAGGATAGGAAGAGAGAGGAGGAGAAGAGAGGAGGAGGAGCATCAGGATCGGCGGGAATCGGGAAACCGGGTGGCCGGCCCACCCTTGGAGGCTGCACGTACGCTGCACGTACGCTGAGAGGAGGAGGAGCATCAGGATCGGCGGGAATCGGGAAACCGGGTGGACCCCCTACCCCCTTCTGCGCGCCGCCAATACAATAGAAACCCATGCCAAGAAACACCCTGCTTGCCTCCAGGGTGCCCTGGATTTCTTGGGTTTCGATGGCTTTGCTGTGGAAGCCGTGGCGCTCCCACACCACAAATGCATGGACGTCCTGGGGCCTCAGGGATGGGCTTATTGTGGAAGGTCTCTTGTGGTCGAACTCTTACTGTAGAGTCAGCCCGCGTAGCAAGGACGGGCAACCTTCCCAAGGGTACCCTTGCATCCCTGCCTATTCGGCCCATGCTCAGCGACTTTGGCTGGCCAGCCTCGCTCGAAAAAACTCGAACTTGGGCCTCCAGGGCCCTAGTGGGCCCCGGAAACGGCAGGGCCGTTTTTTTCACCGTTTCCGAAAAAGTGTCCCTTGAACATGGAAACGGCTAAAAAACGGCGACCGAAAACAGCAACAAGAACGGCTCCAGGATTGGAACCGGAGCGGGAACCCGTAAAAGAGCGGCGGCGGAACCGGTGAAAAGCCGGCGTGGGAACCGGCAACAAAACAACACAACGGCACCGGTAGAAAAACGGCCCTGTCGTCTCTCCAGGGCCCACTAAGTCCAGGGCCCCTGCACCCTTACCGCGCATCTTGATGATGGAGCGCCCCACCCTCCACGGGTGGAAGTGGCAATCGTCCCCGTCCGGAAAAAAAACGGTCGTCGGGAATCAGGAGACCGGCCACCCCTGCCGACGTCGCCATCCCGCCGATCACCCCTCGGCGAGCGCGCCCCTGGCCCTGCAGGATCATGCAAGATCCGGCGCTCTGGCTGACCACCGCTTGCTTGCTTTGGACGGGTGGACTGCAGGTCTCCAGTGGCGACCCGCCCGAGATCCAGTGCCCAGGTTCGGGAGACTCTCCATGGGGGGGGGATCCCATGGGGGGGCAGGGGGATCCCCCCATGGGATCCCCTCCTGCCCCCCCATGGGATCCCCAGGGGATCCTATGGGATCCCCCCCCTGGGGTCCTATCCCCCCATGGGATCCCCCCCATGAAGAGTCTCCCTACAGATCTGGGCGCCAGCCCCGGAGCGGCTCCGCCGGCCGGCGAGGGTGCACCGCCCGCCGCGCTTCCGCGCCGGCCGGGGCGCGCGGGCGCCCTGGGGCGCCCCGCGACGCCGCGGCGCCCTTAGGCTTCGGTCGGACATGTCCCTCTAAAGTCGGGGGTGGACAGAACCCCCACCCTGACACGTCGATTAGGGAATTGTCCGTGTTCGGTTCTCGAGAGGGTGCCGTAGCCGTCCTTTTCCAGGTTTGCGCCCGCCAGGTTTGGGCCCGAGGTCGTTTTCTTTAAACCACGTTTTGCTAAAGGGGGGTCTGTCCATCCCCGATAAAGGAGGAGCGCCCAGGAATAGGGGAAAAAACAGTCTCGGGAGGAGTTGTCGTGCTCTTGTCTTCATGTCTGAGCATGTGCAGGACTATCCTTTGCTTTTCTTCCCAGCGACCGAACCTTAAGCCGGCCCGGGGCAGGAGTCCTTGTGAGGGTTCCTGAGGGTTCCGGATTCAATGTCCGAGGCGGGAACTCATCCATAATCATCGCTTGGGGGATCGATCTTCGGGGACCTCGGCAGGCGGTGGATATGGCTCTATTTGGCCCCCCTGGGGCCCACATGTATCCACATCCACCGCGCCCCTGGGGCCCCAGGGCGTCGATTCCCCGGGGCAGTGGCTATGGATAGACCCCCGCCTCGCACAGCTCCCTCGCTGCAGTCGCCGCGCGGCCACGGCCTCGCAGACCACGGGCAGCTGCTCGGTGCCGCCGCGCACGAGCGCGAGCCCGGCGGGCCCCGCGGCCCCGGCGCAGCGCCCCCCCGGCGGGCGGGAGGCGAGGGGGGCGGCGCCCAGCCGCGAGTCGGCCAGGCCAGGCCTCTGCCGCCGCCCCCCGGTGCGGCCGGACCGAGGCAGAAGATCGAGGTGGGTTCGGGGAGGGCACGGTCAACCCGCCAATACAACAGAAACCCATGCCAAGAAACACCGGCTTGATCCCTTTTGGGGGTTCCGGATCCTCGGGCGGGTGCTGACGGGGGGTGACCTGAATGGCGGGTGAAGGAAAGGGCCCGAAGGTGGCCCTTAGGGCCCCGTCTGGAGCCAGCAGGAGCCCAATTATCTTTACCCCCGTTGAGGTCTGGCGGCGCGCACAGGGGGGTAGGGGAGCGGGTCAGGCTCTGTCTAAGCAGCTTTGCCCCCTCCCCCTACCCCCTTCTGCGCGCCGCCAATACAATAGAAACCCATGCCAAGAAACACCCTGCTTGCCTCCAGGGTGCCCTGGATTTCTTGGGTTTCGATGGCTTTGCTGTGGAAGCCGTGGCGCTCCCACACCACAAATGCATGGACGTCCTGGGGCCTCAGGGATGGGCTTATTGTGGAAGGTCTCTTGTGGTCGAACTCTTACTGTAGAGTCAACCCGCGTAGCAAGGATGGGCAACCTTCCCAAGGGTACCCCTGCATCTTTGCCTCCTCGGCCCATCCTTGGCCGCTTTCGCTGGCCGCGCCGCGCTCGAAGAGCTTCGGAATGGGCGTCCAAGGCCCTCGCATCCTCACCGCGCATCCTTGTGATACGGGCCGACTGTACCCTGGCTTCGCGTTTGATGGATGTTCTTCAGCGTCCTGGGAGCGGGTGCCCCCGAGTGTTCTTCGCTCTGGCCGGCGGAGGGCATCGCGCTCTTGAAGGATGCTTTGCTGTCCAGGGTCTGGCCGTGCGAAGACTGACAGTGGTTCCTGTTTTGTGCCGGCTGGGGGTCTACCCAACATTGTCGGCCACGCGAAGAGGGGGGTGGCAGGAGGGGGGAAGGCTTCTTGGAAGCACACCCCTTCTTAGAAGGCGCGAGCGCCCTTTCTAAGAAGGAGTGTGAAGGGTGGATTGCGAAGAGCGAAATGCGAAGAGTGCGAAGATGGGGATTGCGCCACTTTCTTGGTCTCCTGGGGGGTCCAGCGGAGCCTCGTTTTGAAAAGGGGCTGCCCTCCATCCGTGTAACTGTTGCGATGTCTGCGAGTTAGTTGTACAAATCGGGATGGCATCTCTAAACTCGAACGTGCGCGGCGCTAAGGGGAGAGACACATTCTGAAACGAGCAGTCTCCCATCCGAGGATCACGTCATGCGAGGAAGTCTCAGGCGGGACGCCTGGCCTGCGATTCCGATTCATGATGCGGCGACGGGGAATTACTTAAAAGGAGGAGGGATGGACGCGGAGGGAGGGCAGCGGGACAAGAGGGGAGGAGCAGGAGGAAAGGAAGGAGTATGAGAGGCAGAAGCACGACAGTCCAAGGAGAAGGAGACGGAGAAGGAGGAGGAGGAGGAACACCAGCAGGAGGACGAGGAGGAGATGAGGAGGAGGAGGAGGAGCTTGAATAGGAGGAGGACTGGAGGGGGGGATGGGGTGGCATTGCAGCCCCTCTTCCGCCTCTTTCCGTCCCCTGCCTCCTCCTCCTCCTCCTCCTCCTCCTCCTTCTCATCATCATCATCATCATCATCATCATCATCATCATCATCATCATCATCATCATCATCAGCATCAGCATCAGCATCATCATCATCATCTGCAGCAGCATCACCATTACCATCACCATCATCACCATCATGA